CCTATAGGTTTTGGGGCGCAACTTCTGTCCTTGTTCTGTTCTCACATTTTTAGTTTCTGACTCTCCTTCATGCTCCCCTCCTCCAGCAGCCCCCACACAAGGGACAAGTTAGGGTAAACAGTGGGGTTAGTTTCGAGTTTGTTTTTCAGTGCTGAGTGTTGAACACAAGGCCTCGTGTGTGACTAGCAACACAACTCTTTAACAAAGAGTCTGGAAACACTAGTGATTAATGTTTAAGTCTGTTTTTTTCTTTCTCTGGCTACTAAAAAGAAAAAGGGGCAGAGGCTGGTGGTGGTAATCGCTCACCCTCAATCCCAGCACTCAGGGAGTCAGAGGCAGGCAGATCTCTGAGTATGAGACCAGCCTGCTCTACGAAGCAAGTTCCAGTATGTCTAAGGCTGCACAGAGAAACTCTGTCTCAAAAAAGCAAAACAAACACCCCCCTAAAAAATGAAAGAGAGAGAGAAAAGGAAAAAGAAAGAAAAAGAAGGGGGGTAGACAGATGGCTGTTGGTAAAGTTGATAAAATGCTTGCTGTGTAAGTAGAGGACCAGAGTCAGATGTCCAGAAGCTGGGTCGATATGGTCGCACATGCCTTTAACCCCAGGGAGGCAGAGGCATGCAGACTAATCTACATAACAGAACCTGTCTCCAAAAAAAAAATAATTAAGTTAAATTAAAAAAAATTAAAATAGACTTCTCTGCGGAGACACCATGTGAGATTGCAAAGGGGTAAGAGTCCAGACCCTTCTCCGGGAGAGACTTAAAAAAATTATATTTCAACCTCTCCATCAATGTCAACTCCATAGAGGTGCCAACTCGAAAAGAAATTATTTGCCACGGATCTGATGACAATTATTCCTTTTGCAAAGCTCTGAAAGGAGAGACTGTGAATACAATAGTACCATTTTCCTTCAGGGGAATACTATTTCCTAAGGGCCAATACAGATGTGTTGCAGAAGCCATTGCAGGGGATAATGAAGAAAAGTTATTTTGTTTGAATTTTACCGTCATTTACCACCCTAACGTCAATTAGAATAAATTAAGAATATATTTAAAAATATTAAAAAGCCTGTGTTTGTGCATGCCTGTAACCTCGGTGCTAGGGTAGTGGGTGTGGAGACAAGTGGATGGATCACAGGGCTGACATCAGTCTAACTGAAACAGTGAGTTTCAGGCTTGGTGAGAGACTCTCAGAAAATAAGTTGGGGGCCAGAGAAAGGGCTCAGCAGGTTAGGGAGCTTGCAGCTAACCCTGAGTGGGATACGAGTGTGAGCCCTAGAACCCCGTAGTGGAAGGAGAGAAACACCTTGTGAAAATTCTTCTCTGACCTCCACACCCATGTGGCATGTGCACTCACACAAATAAGTAAATAATGTTTTAAAAAATAAAGTGTAGCGGCGACTGGTCTCAACACCAACCTCTGGCCTCCACTGGTGTCCATGGGTGAACACACCCTCACACACATGTACACATGCCCAAATCGGGGGTCTGGAATGCAGCCCCCTGGGAAAACAAACAACAAAAGCAACTTCAGAGACTGAGGCAGGCAGGAAAAAACAATATTATGATTAGTTTTGATGTCGACTTCCGCAAATTAGAATCACGGGAGGAGGGAGGAAGGAGCAGCACCTGAAAAACTGTCCTGACGGCTGTGACAGCTGGAGGAAGACCCGCTCTAACTGTGGGCGCCACCTTTTGGTAGCTGCCCAGGTAGAAAGTGCATGATGGGAAAAAGAAGGCACCTTTTTCTCTTTGGCCTTTCCTCTTCCTGAGGAGTCTTTTTACCCTGTGTCTTAATTGGGGTTTCCATTGCTGTGAAAAGACGCCTTGACCACGGCAACTCTTATAAAGGGAAACATTTAATTGAGGTGATGCTTAGCGTTTCAGAGGTTCAGCCCATTGTCGTCAAGGCGGTGTGTAGGCAGATGTGGTGCTGGCTGCATCTTGACTCGGAGACAACAGGAAGTCAACTGACTGTCACACTGAGGGAAGCTTGAGCAAAAGAGACCTCAAAGCCCGCCCCCACAGCGACACATCCTCCAACAAGGCCATGACTCCTAATAGTGCCACTCCCTTTGGGGTCACTATTTCAAACCACCACACCCTGTTGCTTTTGACCCCTTCACTGACATCAGAACCAGTGTTTCCAGGCATTTGTGATGAACTAAGGACCAGTGGCTGTCCAGATGGGGACCACTGAGGCTCCCAGACTGAGAACCAGAAACTTCCAGATTCTCGTGTGATTGAGCGCATGTGTGTAGGATTGTGTTCCTTTAGAGAACCCTGACTAATACAATCACAATTTAAGGTTGACCCTGAGAGGGGACTCAGGAAATAGGAAGGGAGGGGATAGGACACCCAGTGATTGTTGCCTTTCTTCTTTGTATGGCAAGATCTGCTTCCAGCACAATTGGGAGAAACACAAAACATTGTGTCAATATGTGGTAATTTGTGTGATTCAAACCATTGCTTCATTTTTCCATCACTGTCAGAAACACCTGACACATGGTTTAAAGGGAAGAGGTTACTTTGGCTCACAGCTTCCGCAATCTCTCTCCCCCCTCTCTGTCTCTGTCTCTGTCTCTGTCTCTGTCTCTCTCTCTGTCTCTCTCTCTCTCTCTCTCTCTCTCTCTCTCGTTGTTTGAGACAGGGTTTCTCACAAGGCTGTCCTGGAACTAGCTCTTGTAGCTGGTCTCGAACTCAGAGATCCTCCTGCCTCTGCCTCCCCAGTGCTGGAATTAAAGGCGTGTGCCACCAACGCCCAGCTCAGCTTCCACAATTTCAATCCACCATCTCTGGCTCTATTGTTTCTGAGTCACGCAAAGCAATACTTCATGGCCTAAGAGAGCTGCTCTCATCAGGACAGCCAGGAAGCAGAGAGAGCCGGCCAGGGCACCGCATGTTCCCAAGGGCTTACCTTCAGTGGACTGCATCTCTCAGTCAGGCTCTGCCTTTTAAGTTTCCAGCATGTCACTACATAGTAGTACCATTCAGGGGACTGTACCTTTAACCTATGAGCTTGAGAGGGACAGTTCACACTCAAGCCAGATAGTCATGGAATAGAGGTAACATCCCAGAGGAAGGCGAGCTTGAAAGGTCAAAAGGAAATACAGAAATATGGGTGGACCTCTTGTGGGGTGTTTTCTCCTACTGTCTCAGACCAATCTTGCTGAATCCCATGATTTATATAATATTGGTGCTATGTTGTTGCATGGAAAATTTGTTTCTCTAGTTCAGCACAGTGCCATGTAGCTTGTCAGAGCTGCAATCAACATGGTCTACACAGTGGTTGACCGTCCACCCTGCTAGAGGCTGGAAGGAGTCAGAGATGCAGGCCTCAGCGAGGGAGGCCTGCTCGCTCTGAAGGCACTGCAGCCAGCCCGTTCCACACCTTTCTCCTGGCTCCAGCTCCTTCACTGTGGGGGATGTAGCTCCAGTCCTCACACACGTTTCCCTCACATACCCAGCTATCTCCGCAGTTTTTCCTTCAGGAGTCTATCATTCCTATTAGAATAGGAGCCCAATCTCTTTGGTATGAGTTCATCAGAGCTAATTATGTCTCCGTGACAATATTTCCAAATATCATCACATTCTGAGGTACTGAAGTTTGGAACCTCAGCGTAGAGATTAATGTAGGGGCACCCACGATCCGCCCACAACCATGTGGGTTTTCCTCCATGCTACCAGTGGAAGAAATCCCCCAGGTCTCCTGTGTGCCAGCACCTCCTCCCAGCTCCTCCATGCTATGCTGTCCTTCATATGCCCATGACTTACTTCAAATGTTTATTTCTTTTGCTGGAGTCATTTCTCAGTCTTAACTAAACAGACAATGAGACATGCTAGGCACAGATGTCTCCAAATATGTTTGTGTAGTGTCTCAGATTCAAATGAAGGCCCAGATCACACATACAAGGCTCTTTGTATGGGTTTTCTCATACCTTACTTTATGACTTGCGTTGTGGAAGATTATCTTAACTGTATAAAGGTGTGCTACATTTGTTTCTGCTGATTTTGTAACAAGGCAGAGACCTGTTACATCTGTTTGAGTAAATGAAATGAACCTGGGGTCAGGAGGTTGAGTCAACAACTAGCTGACAGGAAGTGATAGGAGCAACTAAGTGTAAAGGGTTCTTTAGCGGGGGCTGAGTAGAGGGATGCCCCTGTTTTGAGAAGATGCAAGCAAGGAGAGGTTAGCTATTTGCTACTCTGCCTCTCTGAGCTAGGAGGATTTCACCTCAACCTTTAAATTCTGAGTTCTATGGAAGGATAGAGATTTAATTTCCTTTAATGGCCATGATAGAGACAGTGCCTGGGGGAACAGAATTCCCACCTGGCTACAGGCCCTCTGGCCAAACCACTGCTGGTAGCTGCTGAATTGCAATTGTCAGTTGGGACAGCAGTTGCTTAAGGTGCAGCCACTGTATTGAATGAAAAACAACAGACTTGGGGCCCCAGATGTCGTGTGCTAGTCCTGGTTGCTGGGCAGTGGTGTTGTTGGGAGGTGGCACCGACATTAGAGGATGGGCATCTGTACCAGGTACTTTTTCATTGTTGTGACGGATGACTCAACACTACGCAACCTGAGAAAGGGTTTATTTTGTCTCATAGTTTGAGGAGACACAGTTCATCATGGTGGCACGTGGCCCCATGGTGGCAGGAGAGTGCACCTGGGATCCTTACCTCAGATTTAGGAGGAACAAGAAACAGAGAGCATATTGGCAGTGGGCACGTGCTATGAAACCTCGGTTTCTAATCTCAATAACCCACTTCCAGCAAGGCTCCCACCCCTAAAGGTTTGACAGCCTTCTACAACAGTGACATCAGCTGGTTGTCAGTCATTCAAACACATGAGCCTGTGGGGGACATTGCTCATTCAAACCCACACCAAGTCTAACAAAAGGAAGTTAGGCCATTGAGGATATTGGTGTTACAAGCACTCTTTCCCGCCAGCCTGGTCCCTCTGCTGCGTCAGCCCCAAATGAACACACAGACACTATATTAATTACGAAACTGTTGGTTGATGGCTTGGGCTTTATATTGGCTAGCTCTGTCTTAATTATTAACCCATAACTACTAATCTATGTACTTCCACGTGGTCTTGGCTTACCGGAGAATGCTGGGCCTGCAACTCCTTTGCCTGCTACATCACAACTGTTCTGGAGGGCTCTCTGCCTACCTTCCCCAGACTCAATTCCTTTCCTAGTCACGCCTATCTTCCTGTCTCGTTGGCCATTGGCCCAACAGTGTTTTATTCACCAACCAATAAGAGAAACATATACAAAAGGACATCCCCATCATCTTGGCACTTTGGCCCTTGCCCACTCCCTCATTGTACCTCAGCACAGCTCTCAACAAAGAGGTCATGGACCCCTGGGACAGCAAGTTCACTCAGAAGCCTATATTGACCTCATTGGAAAAGTTGCTGAATTATCTGCCTATCTTCACAGGCCACATTGCTCATCCCATCACTGGGAAGAAATCAGCAACTAGAATCCTGGGGACTGCCAGCAAATGCTCTCCCCTCCAGTCAGGGAGTTGTGAGGCCTCTCAAAGCAGGAAGGTCAAGCACTAACTCCTTATGGTGTCTGGGGTTTCCATTCAGGCAAATCAGGACTTGGGCTCCAGTTGGACAAGATGGCGGATGCTGGTTGGACTTGGTCTGCGTGTGGCCAGCAGTAGTGCCTATAAGGACAGCGAGCCTGGTCTCTGCCATTCTCTGACGTTTATCAGCCAACTGTTCACCTCGGGTGTGAGCTGTTTTTTCTAAGGGACCGTCAGGCCAAATCGTGATCCACATACGTGCTTTTCCTGGAATTCTCTTCTGGATGGACTAAAGGACACACTGCAGAACGAGAGGAGGAGGAGGAGGAGGTCTGAGATGAGAAGACGGATTCTCCCTGAGGTGGGTGTCCTTTTCATTAGGAATGACATTCTCTGGGCACCCATCGGCTTCCCGATTCTTTTCCAGGAGTGCTTGTTGCCCATGGACTGAAGACATAGTGGCTCGTTGCCTTTGTCCACAGAGGCTGACATTGCTGTGCTCAGTGCTGACAGTACAGTCCCATGCCACAGCTCTGCCCGTCAGGATCAGAACCCAGGTTCCCTCTCTGGTCCTCTGCTTATCCTGGCTCCCACCCTGCCTACCTCATACAGGTTTCCATTCCAAGCCCCGTACACAGCTGAGAAGCCAGAAATGGACCCTGTGCAGGGCTCTTCCCTGTAGTGTCCAGGGGGGAGGTTGGCCTCCCATGGTTGACACAACTGACTCACCTCTGGAAGCTATGCTGCTGTCCACCAATTCATAGCCAGGCCTAGGCGTTCAGGAGAAAGCAGTTTGTAGTCACAAGACCTGAGAGCCAGAACGCAGGGGGAGGCGCTCTGGTTTCCCCCCCTTTCAGAAAGAGACATGAAGGTCCAGCGTAGACAGACTGTGTGTCCAGGGTTACACAGCTTAGTAAGAGGCAAACCTAGACTTTCTGAGCCTCAGGGTCCGTAGTCTGTGGCTTCTCGAACTTCACCTTGTCATTCTTTTCAAAAAGGAAGAAGATAGGGGATAAGGAGTAAGGGGGGATAGGGAACAAAGAAAGGAGGAAGGAAGCAAGATGCTATCATTTAAAGAAAAAGGTGTTTGAGCTGGTGAAATAGTTTAGTGGGTGCTTGCTTGCCACCAAGCCTGAGGACCTGAGTTTGATCCCTGGAACCTACACGTTGTAAGGAGAGAATGGACACCAGTATATTGTCCTCTAATCTCCACGTGTACACCTACACACAGACACACACAGACACATACACAAAACATACAAACATACACACCACACAGACACACCCACACAGACACACCCACACCCACACCGACACAGACACAGACACACACAGACACACACACACACACACAAAACATACAAACATACACACCCACACAGACACACCCACACAGACACACCTACAGACACACCCACACCCACACCGACACAGACACACCCACACACACACAGACACACACACACACACACACACACACACACACACACACAAAGGTATTTCAGGGCTGGGGAGGTAGTTCATTTGGTAGAGCACTTGCCTAACATAAACTTGGGTACCACCCCAGCATACATGAACGGGACATGTAAAGTACTTGTAATTCCAGCGCTTGAAAGGTGGAGACAGGACCAGGAGTTCAACATCACCCTTTAAGTAGAAGTTTGAGGCCAGCCTGGGTGTTGTGGGAACTCGTCTCAAGAAGCAAAAAGCAAAACAAAAAGAAGGAGGAGGAAAAGAAAAGTGTGGTGTTTTGGTGGGTACTGAGGGAGGGCCACTCCTTGGCTTCAAACATCCCTTTGCAAACCAGTAGCTATGGCAAAGGGGGCCTGACTGGCCTCTTGTATCTTACAACAGCTTGGATTGAGGGACCTTGTTATCCATGGCTAGTAAAAGAAGATGTAAGGCTGTATCCACTTGTTAATCTGGAGAGAAACTTATAATGGTGGATTTCGGTATTAATGTGGACCATTTCCTGAGTCGCCCAGAGCCCTGTGTAGGGCAAACGCGGCTGGACCAAGGCCAAGACCAGCTCTACCTCCGAGTCACTTCTCTGGGGGCTTTCGCTGCTGCGCCTCCGCCCTGGGGAAACTGGACCTTCAGTCCCAGGATAGTCGCTCCAGCTCCGCGGGGCTCCCAGGACACCGCAGCATCGGGTTTCGCGTGGCAGCCCAGCTTCCCTCACTCGGATCCCCTCCCGCCTGGGAACGCTGCAGCCAATCACAGAGCTGCACAGCTCCGGGTTGTAGAGTCCCGAGCCCGGGACCCGCCCCTCTTTGTTGCGGTGTCCAATGGACGCATCCAGAACATCGGCGGCTGTCCGGGTGACTCGGTTATATGTCACAGAATAACATTCGAGAATGGGACATGGAATGAGGCGACGGCCGACGCAGCTCCAACAGCCCTCTGCAGCAATGAGGCCAGCTGGCCCGAGGTGGGTCC